GGTGAGAGGAAGGGTAATGAACCAATACGTTTTTACTACTTGGCTTTTGGTACCACTTTGAGGGCCCTACCAATAGCACCATTTCCTCCGCCGTTCTTTAGACAACAAGAACCCAATAATGAGGTCGATGTTAATTTTCGGATGTTTACGAACGAAACTCTCAAAGTCCTTAATCACTATCGCGCGAAAACATAAAGCTCAAACCTCACTCTAGTGCAACTCTCGAGGCGTTCTGGATTAATTCTAGAAATCCGAAAATGAACCGCAGGAAGTAATGCCTCATTATCGCGTGTGATATAGGGTAGTATATAAGACTGTTATTTTGATGAGAGGGGCACATTACACTTCGATATGGATTCTGTGCGGTTGGTCTCTGCGTGACATACTTAGTGGAAACCTCATAGAAAGCGGTGAGTGTGCGAAGCTGTGTTCAATGCGATTGAAATCTTGGTTTAGCGTTTTCTCTGTTTGGTTATGGAGGTGTCTGGCCGAATAGATTGCTATCAACTTGAGCTTTCCAGGCTCTGAGGAAGGCGAAATCCGCCGAAATGTCAGCTTGCTCGCAAATAAAAAATGATAACACCTCACGCTTGCTCAACAGAAATACGAAGAATCTACGTTTTTTTTATTTCAGTTCCGATGTACAAACTGTGGTGAATCTCGTGATTACTGGCAATATGTTGTTGTGAATGTGGGTTTTAATGCAATGTATTTTACGAGATCGTTGCAAGTTTGCTAGTTGTATTTGTTGTTCAGGAGGTCCTAGATATTCCTGGAAGCCGTGGAGAAGCGAATCTTGTTGAAAAATGCAAACTTTGCAACCGAATGAGTACTGTTTGTAAGTTCAAAGACGTAGTTTTTGTAAAATTCGAAAATGCAGGGCTGTTTGCTCTCACTCGAAGCGCTCTCCTTGTTCTTTATATTTATTCGGACCTAATAATATTTTCAAAGCATGCCTTTCTATCAAAAATCAACTGCTTACTTTTTTAGTTCTCTTTTATTCATGCAAACTGCCTTTCATATACACTATGCGCATCCCAGCACTTCTCGCATTTGATTCGTTTCCTCGAATCCGTGATCCGTGAGGGTATTTTTATTCTTACATGTGGCTTTGGCCGTTGCTTGAGGATTTTCATTTCATCCTGGATGTCTTAGAACACTGATCGACTCGATTCTCCCTAGAGTCCTGAGATTGCCGTGCTGGAGCGTTCCCACTTGGATCGCCAAGAGTAGTTTCCTTTCGGACAAGTCCAGTAACAATTTCCCAACCCCGAATGGATGAGGGGCTTTGCGAGCCTCGGGCGGATCGAACCAGCGCCGTGCTCATGATGATCAGCATCACATCCAATGTGCTACACGCTCCCTAACTACGAGAAAAAAGCAGTTATGCCCTGCTCGCAAGAGTGGTCAAGGGACCACGCAAGCAGGTGCCCGAGAAGGAGTGCACATGTCGCTCTAATGATGCTTTAGTTGTTGTACTTTCTTTGCGATTTTCCATATTTCAGCAATCGTCAAAGATTCACTTGGATCGTACAGTTCTACTGAGCATAACGAAGAGTGGCAGTCGATGATTCAGTTGGATTGTCGCGGTCTTGAACCTATCGATTTTGATTTTAGGGTGAGGCACCTATTTACGTAATTGTGTATCATAATAACTATAGCCTTACCTTAACTCTTTTATTTACTGCCTTTTTCTTCTTAATGGCAGGGTATGTTGTGAAATATAACTCGTATGAGTGGTCCGGAGTTTTGCAGATATCTCAGCACTTCATACGTTGACGGGTGATTGCTGATGGCAAAAAGATCGATAGAACTAGCTGAGATACATGCGAAGCGAAGGACCCGGATGGTGTAGTAGTGAAGTGCGCTGCTCCCCGGTAAGGACAACAGCGCGTGTTCGTTCTCCACTGCATACACCTGTGGTCCGGAGTTTTGCAGATATCTCAGTACTTCATACGAGTTATAGCCTTACCTTCAAGAATAGAATAGCGACAAACTTTAGCCTCTGTACTTCCTTGGATTCTTGGATAGCCCGATGGATTGTGTTCCCCTGGAGTCCCGAATTCAACCTGGCCAAAGTCGGTACCGGGTCCTCACCACCACAGCCAGTCGCCGCCCTTGTGAATCAGAGGGAAATTTGTTACCATGCCACTAGTTTGATACCAGGACGGTAGTGGATCTTGGCATTGGTTTACTCCTAGCAGGGCATCTTGATGGAAACGCTTTACTCCTTCTCAACTTAGGAGACACCGCTACGGATGAAGCCTCCCGCTGTACGTCGTAGCCCGATACCCAGCAACACCTCTCAGTCACGATGAAGCTGTTAACCGTCGGGAGGTTACCCTTTATGATAATTAGTTATTGGGGATGCTTTCTGCATTATGCGAAGGACAAAAGCAAATATGTTATAGGTGTTGGTCCATATTATTGATCACTTTGGTTTGTGCAGTCTTTTCTGGTACAATGTTTGTGTACCATAAAGTCACAGATCCAGGGAGCATGAGACCTGTCCTTGAAGAAATCGGTGCATGATTGCTGTTAGGCAAATCTAATGATTTTTTTGTGCAAGATTTATGAGTATGTTTGTTTGTAAAAGAACTCAAACTGAGCAGATATAAAGTGCTAGTGATAATGAAAGATATTATTGGTGTTCATGAAAATAACTGGAATGTTCCTTAAGCGCATAAATTAGCCACCAACGTGAATTTGATTTCTTAACAGAAAGTGATATCCTAAGGACATTTAGATGGGATGGACAGCAGTTGGTGCAGAAACGGGTACAGTATTTGACGACATCGATCTTTCAGAGAAGGTTGGATTTATTTTCTCTTTTAATGTTTCTCTTAAATGCATTGATCATTATTCTCCCTGATGATGGTGCACTATATTTCGATCGACGTATTTAAATTTTTCACTGCTATCTGAGACTTCGTGCTGTGCCTCATTTACCTATATCAGTTCATTCTGCATTGTTTGTCAAGGGCTTTAAGTGGGCGCTAGGAAGCTCCCTGTTGCCGCTCTTCCGCTTTTCGAGCAACATGGAGAAAATTGTAGTTTTCTTCTACGATATTCATAATGATTGTTGACAATCTGTTTCGTAGTTCCCTTATTGTACATTTAAAGTCATCACGGAACCAGTTGTGAATCTGTTTGGCAGTTTTCCATGAGATATTGTTAAAAAGTAATATCCATCCGTCCAGTTCACGTCATTTTCAGTACTCCAACGTATACAGTCGCTCTGACTTTTGATAATCAATGTGAGGCACAATTTTGCTTCCCTTATCTTGCGCATTTATAGTTTATATTAAGTGGTCCTCTGAACTGCCTACATAGCGTTAACTTTCTATTTGCTACCTACTATAATTTTTCACGGCAGGGCATTATGTGTGACACAGCCACAGGTGTCTGCTGTCCAAAGTTTTGCAAATGTCTCAGCACAAAATTGTGGTTGTCTACATAGCTTCCAATTATTCGGCATGTATCTTAGGTCAGAAGCAGTTATGCATTCGAAAACATAGTAGCTGAGTCCGATGATTTTTGTTCAATTTACTACGTCGTCGGTGTTTGAGAAAGTTTTGTAACCCACTCTGTTCATCCAGTCTCCGGGTGAACTGCGTGAGCTCGTTCATTATGTTGTCATCTCGACTCACATCCACGTAACTGTGATACTAGGAAGTATTCATTTCCTTTAGCATGAGTGGGGCAATAGAGACGGAGTTTTTTCTCATCGCTTTTCTGAAATCCAACCTAATCTTTGTACAAGTACATCAGTAAAATGGTTTCGGTGCTCCACTTCCACTCCTATATTATCATATTCCAATTTTCGCGTAAGGTTTTCGAGACTAGTACAAAATATTTTTGAAACAGATGGTCTGGCATTGTCGGGCTTCTTTTTCTACGTCAATAATAATGTCGTTTTGGAATTGTGACATTCCAGTTGTGAAACTCATTTTTATACTTCATGAAGGATCTTTGTGTACTGTGAAAGATGTTAGGTCTGTTAGTTGTAACAAGGTCTGTTGGCAAGGACCAGTGGTGTAACTTTCTTAATTGTCATTCTGGTTACAGAGGGTATTTCATCTCGATTCTGAAGAGCCGCTCTTGTAATTGCTCAATTCTCGGTGGGCACTGCGGATGCTTTTATCGTTTTTTGCGGAAGCTTGCAAACTAGGACGTAGGTTGGTCACTGGTGATGGTTTGCCCAATTCTACGCAGGATCATTATCTCAAAAGTTTCCCAAGACGAGCATCTCTATGGGAGCATTCAAATTCTGGTGACTGGGTTGCATCTCTCGACAGTACAGTTGCTAGCGGCATGTCCTCAAAATTGGGTTAAAGAATAATAAAATTCATAACTAATATTCTCGAATTTGATTTACTCAATCTAGCAGCTTGTTTGACACTTTTACGATGAGAACAGTGTGCCACAGAAGAGGTGATGTTTTAGTCCTGTGTATAATTCCAGGATAATATCAGATGCAGAAATGTTCAGTTTTTACTAGCCGGTCTACTTTGTAATGGTGTTAACCATTGGGACACCTATACACCGCATTAAAAGGGTTGTGCTAGAATTGCGAATTAATCAGTTAATGGTTTTCTGATCACGATAAACTTTTGGCTTCTCATTTTGTTCCTTCCATTTCAATCCGTGGGTTGTTTACTGTCGCATCTTGCGAAAAACACTACCAGCTCGGTATTATATCATTTGTTTGCGGCAGTCCGATGTCGTCATGTTTAATTTTTCATCCTTGCACGAACAGATCCTCACTGGAGATTTGCACTGCCAACGTACGTCTGTTGTAAACACTGACATTTCTGGCAATAAATGTCCACAGATACCTGGTAAGCTCAGCCATTACTTCTGCGATTACTAATGGAGAGGTCGAGAGGAAAAAATACATTCCTCCAGAATGGAGGAGGAGATCGTTTGTTTGGAAAGATACCGAACCATATCCCATGTATATCGCAGTTCTCACTTGTTTGCATTCCTTTTGCCAAACCGATGTGCGAGATGCATGCGTCCTAAAGTAACTAGTGGAAGTATATATATATAGTATAGTATATTCACATATTTAATATATGTGTATATATGTATAATGAAGTATTAAGCTATTTTTTTCCCTTTTTCAAGCGGCGTTGATCAATCCCTGAGGAATATGTCACGAATTCGACCTCATTAACATTACTAGAGGTTATTGAATGCATATATGACCTATACAATGACTCTTAGTGGCTTACCGATGTATCGAGCCCGTGCTGCTCTCCTCACAAACCAGTTCGGTGCCGATTTGCAGACATCGGAGGGATAGAAAACTTGGTAAGCCTGGAAAGCGGGGGTCAATCCTATGTGTATTGCAGGTCGCCTTTAACCGCTGCGCTACACGAGTCTATATATACACGTATATATATGTATATATACGCGTATATATATTGTCTATATATATATATATATATATATATATATATATGGACATATGTGTGTATATTATATATGTGCGTATTCGGCTGAGAATCGCTGATTGAGGGATTTCCGTGAGCATTTCGTATGTAATATGTCAGAAGAATCCGCGCACAGCATTATAACCAATTGTTTTTTATGGTTCTCAATTGTTTAAAAATTGGCTAACTCTCAAATTCTAATTTATTCCCGTTATCTCCTTGCTTGTTTCTGTTTTATGTATTTTTACCTTCCTTTTCACTTTATTTACGAGAAGTCAACAGTAGCCAAGAAGTTAGTAAAATCCTGAATGTATTAAAATTATTGCCTGCGCAATTGGACAGGTCCGTCCTCTAATTATCGTATTTTTACCAGGCTTGGGCTGATTATGACGAAAAAGTGAATGAGGCGACAGAGATTAGTGACATCGAGGTGCGATTTGTCCATACGAAATTGAAGTGACAGCGTTACCAGGGGTCGCTTCAGAGTTTCTGTGTTGTTCTCGTGTGTTTTGTACTCGTTGTGATCCACCATCTTTCTTCAGAAACTCTGTTGTTTATCTTTTTTCATATAGTTGTTTTCCATTGTTAAGTTGACATATTCTCGTCGTAATAAACTTCAGTTTCGTTACCTACAGCTTACATTACTGTGTTGTTGTAAATATCGAGAAATTTGCTTAATTCACAACCTTTTCGAGAAATCTTCACATATCAAAGTTTGACGCCTACTTTTCCTTTCAGTGATGAGAGAATACGGATTACGTCGAGGTCACAGTTTTTCTTACGTCGTGGTTATGATACTGATCCGTTTGTGAAGTATGGAAGTTGTTCAGTGGCCTTCCTCGTCTAAAAGAGCTCTTTTCCATTGATGTTAAGAAAACTACACACTAGCTTAACTAGACCGTCGCCATTGGCTATGAATGCGAGTTAGTGAAAAAAGAAAATGAGGTGTTCTAGTCCCGCTTACAATGTCAAGCACATTCTGGCTGAGATCGATCATTGTTGCCTTAATTCGATCATGGCTCATAGTCATCTTAACAAACCACCAGCTTTCTGTTAACCTCGGCGTCGATCGAAGAATCCACTGTGTTCTTGATGAGTAAATACGAGGTGTAACTCTATTCTTTACTGACGAAAATGCGGAAGTTTCGGAGGATTTCGCTTTTTTCATAGCCTGGAAGAGTCGTGACTGCAGCTCAGTTTAACCAAAGGGTCCGCACTTACGAGGGCCTACTTATGCATCAGCTAAGTGTTTTTATCGAGCCAGAAAAGTATAATACCTACATCTGGATCTCGGAGGGATGGAACGGTTCGTGAGTCCGATGTGCAAGATCGAACCAGCGCATTTATTTTACATGGAGCAACGTGATTTTCCACAGTACTGATGTAGAGAACCCACCTTTGAGAGGAGACTAAAGAATTGTACAAGGTTGGCGACAGATCTTCATATCTTTTTCGTTTGTAGCGTGCATAGCATAATACTTTAATCCTTATACAGTACGAGTACTGTTTCTGCCACTTTTTTGTTATTTATGAAGAGTACTTTGAAATTATTATGAGTCTGGCAATTACGTGGACCCATGAAGGTCAACGAAAGTCGTGGTGAGGATTGTCGCCGTAGAGTCTTCCGCTAATAGTGCACAATCAAACTACTTGAGAAACATACTATTTGTCCACTTAGTTCGACTCCTACGGATAAGAAATACCGCGAAGTTTTGAAATTTTCTTCAACGGACTAT